GCAGGGGCATAGAAAGGGAGTGGGCTGACAATTCTCGGGGGGAAAGGGGTGTGGGGGTGCGGGAAGAGACTGGACAAAAATCGTACACCTATGGATGAGGATAGTGAGGGGGTAAGGGCAGAGGGTAGGGTGGGAACGGGGTGGAGGGGAGCTATGGGGGGAAAAAAGAGGAACAACTGTAATAATCTGAACAATAAATATTTAATGTTTAAAAAAGAAAAAAAAATAATAAATAGAAAAAAAACAGGTTAAAGATAAAAATAGGAGAAGCTACAAATATCACATCATTCCGCTGTGCACCTGAAAAGAGTGTTATATGTCCATTATATTTCAATAAAACAAAGTTTTTAAAAAAAAGATTTAAAAAAGAAGAATGTGTAGTTTTGTGGAATATTACTTCTAGCTTTCTTTAACTTTCTTATTGAGCTGTAATTTATATGAACTAAAATGTACAAGCCCTTTTATAAGTATGTGGGTTTTGACAAACCAAGTTCACTGTGACCCTAAAAGTCAAAAACCACCCACTACCAACCCCCAGCTAACTCCTGTTGCAATTTCTGGCATCATAAATTGCTTATCTATTCATGTATTTCATATACTTTTTGACTGTCCATGGAGTTCTTAGAATTACATAGTATACACTTTTTGTCAACATACTGTTTAGATACCCAGTGATATTTCACGAATCAATGATAAATTCCTTTTAAACTTTTTATTTAAAAAAGTTATAAGTTCAAAATCTTCAAAGTGCATGCAAGCCGCTCCTCCCAGAGCGTCTGGACTGAATGTTCTTGAGCATCTCCAGGAAAGCCTGCGGAGATGGTGCCTCCACATTCTGGAAGGTGTTCTGGACTCTGCTGAACAGGATGAAGTAATTCACCTCAGGCCAGATGAACCCGAAGTGGTTCTCATCGAACAGGATGAAGACACCCAGGTGGCGCCCGGTGGAGGCGAAGCCATTTAAGGTGACAGTATAAGTAACAGTGTCCACGCCATAGAAACACATCCTGCAGGTTCGGGGGTAGTTCTGGTCTCTTGAGAGCACGTCCGCAGGCAGAACAAACGGGACAGGCTGCTCCTCCGAAGCTGCAGCCAAGGACTCTCTGACGCTGGGCTGGGCTGGGCTCTGCCAGCCATGGCCCTCGCTTTCCTCAGTCCCGTCTTCTTGCTGCTGCTGCTGCTGCTGCTGCTGCTCCCGGGTCACCTGCTCGTCTATCTCCTGGACCACGCGGGAGAGCTCGTTGAAGTTGCGGAAGATCTCGCCATCTGGCAGCTGGATGCGGCGCGTGAGGTGGATCTCTAAACTGTGGTTGGAGTCTCCCGTGACCTTCGTGAGCCTGGCATAGTTCCCATGGAAGCTGAGCATGGCAATCGATAGGCCGTAGGCATTGCAGTTGCATTGGAAGAGGCCTGGCCTAATGAGGTCGTCCCGGTGGCTGGGCGGGAGGTAGAGGCGGCGGTAGGTCAGGCAGTCATACTGCTGTCTGACCTCCTGCACCAGCACCCGCCCCCATTCGTCCCTAAGTCGTGTTGGTGAATCCTTTCGGTGGTCTGTCTTCTTGCACCAGGTGGTGAACCTGTCCTTCCGAATCTGCATGTGGCAGTTGTGGGGCCTGCTGTGGCGGCCTTCCATGCACTCCACCGCGGCTGATTTCCGCTCCGTCAGGCGAATTCTGAACGCGGGCTCGAATTGCAGCGGGCCATCCACCTGGGTGTTAAGGCAAGGCCTGAACGCCCAACCAGTAATGCCTAAGCCGTCCACCACGACGTACAGCAGTGTTCTATTGCGCTCGGTATCTAGCTGCCACAATCCCAAAATGTGTCTGTACGGGTGGAGCAGCTTCGCATAGACTTCTCGATAAGACATACCGATCGTCTCCAGGCTCTGCAAGTTTTCACTGACGCCAAACTCCTCCCGGCAGCGCCGTCTCCACATGCTGTCGATGTGCAGGATGTGGTGGAATTTGGTGCAGGCCAGGGCCAGGCTGGGCAGATCGGTGACGGGGAGCGAGGCGAAGATCTCCACCAGCATCTCCACCGGCAGGTCCTGCAGCGAGCAGTGCGGGGGCGGCGAGGTCGGCATGGGACTCGCGATTCCTCCACTCCCCGCACAGCACCCCGCTGCCTCGTCCGCCCCGATGTGCTTTTCCACCGGGGCCGGGGCTGGCTTGCTGTCAGCTGCTGCCATCTCAGCTGGGCCCTGGCGCTCCTGACGACACCGCTTACCTTCAGCCACTGCCATCTCAGGGGGGCGCTGGCGCTTCTGACCACAATGCTTGCCATCGGCTGCTGCCTTCTCGGCTGGGCCCTGGCACTCCTGACAACACTGACATCCCCGCGAAGAGCCCACAGCGCAGAGGCATGTGCACTCCTCCATGCCTCCAGGAGTAACAGCCACCACGGCCTGGGCTGCTGCGCTTTAAGCTGGCTCGTCCCGCCCTGAGAGTCACGCCCCCCAGGGCCTACCACGCCCCCTCAGAGGAGCCAATTGTAGGACATGAGCAACACTTCCAAAAGAAACCCACACCCATTAACAGTCGCCTCCCTGTCCTCCAGCCCTAGCCCCAGGCAGTCACTGATCTGCTTTCTGTATGGATATGCCTCCAGGGAAATGCCTATGGGGAGGGGCGTCGGACATTTCACATAAATGCAGTCATAATATCTGGTCTTTTGTGACTGGCTTCTTTCCCTTAGCATAACATTTTAAAGCTTTATGTATGCTATATTCTAGTATATGGGTATACCACATTTTGTTTACCCATTCATCAGTTGATGAATATTTGGGTTGTTTCCAGTTTGAGGCTCTTTTGAATAATGCCTCTATGAACAGCGTGTACAAGTTTTTTGTGTGAACATGTTTCCATTTCTTTTGGGTATGTACCTAGAAGTGGAACTCCTGGGTCATCTGGTAACTCTATGCTTGGCATGTTGAGGAACTGCCAAATACGTTTTCCAACGTGGCCCCACTATTTTACATTTCCACCAGCGTTGTACGAGGGGTCCAATTTTTAAACATTCTCATGAATGCTTTTTTAAAAAAATATATTATAGCCATCCTATTGAGTGTTGAGCGGTATTTTATTATAGTTTAGAGCAGAGTTATTGACTGTAGGTTGACTTGACCTTGAACTCCATAAGGGAAATCTCTTCTATGCTCAGCCTTCCACC